CAGAGACTTTACAAAAGTCATAGACGACTGTGTACTCGTTGTGCATGAGATATTTGTAAAGGAGACTTAAAATTTGTCTAGTATAGAGGCTGGAGCTCATCTGGTTCTGTTTCTTGACTCTAGTTTGAGGTGTTGGTCAGCGTGACGTCTGTATTATTGTGAATGTTGATAAGGCAGCAGCACATTGTTGAATGGTCATCAAGGACAGTGCATTGTAGGAAACAGCTGTGAGGGATGATACAACTTATCGTGACAGATGAGCTTTACACCCGAGTTATCGTATTTCGCTCATCTCACAAGTAGTTAGTCATGGTAGATTAACCCTATGATTGCCTTCTGGTCACTTTGTTACTGCATGTTGCTAATTATTATTATAATGCACTCTTACATGCTCATATGTAAATCATATTATATGATAATATTTATGCAAATTATATATAATAAAAAAAATAAAATATATTTAATATGTTTGTACATATAATTTTAATCTTTTATTTAAATTTGATATTTTAGATTTTCTGATTATATATAAAATCAGTTCATATATAAATATCATATTATATAAAATATGTTTAAAATGTGTATCTATAATATATTTTAATTTTGATATAATTTTTAAAGATGTGATCTTTTGAATTTTTAGTAACACACACACACACAAACATATATGCACTCAAATGTTTATGAAATAAAAAAACATTTATATGCATTTGTTATATATTTTACTATGTAGATTTTATAATATAAATAAAAAGTATAAAAATATAAGACCACACTTGTATTGAACAGTGGAACATTCATGGAAAAGAATGTAAGCAACATTTTTGTTTATAGTTATTATAAAAATACATTCTTTCTTATACATTCCTTATCATAAATTCCAGAAACTCCTCTGGGAAAAATCATGATGATGCCTATGGGACCAGAATGGTTTGAGATGAGTCATATTTGCTCTGCTGTTCAATAGGAAACATCTAAACATGGTCTATTGGCATCAAGAGCTGAGATGTTTTGAAGCAACATGGAACAAACAAACCAGGAGAGTAAAGATCCAGACCCATAACATTAGCGCTGCTGGTGTGGGAAAAAGCATTAGACTAGAGGAACAAATAATAATAAAGTCAGTTTATATTAAATCCATCTCTCCTTGACTCCAGAACCCTCATAAAACAGAGACTTTACAAAAGTCATAGACGACTGTGTACTCGTTGTGCATGAGATATTTGTAAAGGAGACTTAAAATTTGTCTAGTATAGAGGCTGGAGCTCATCTGGTTCTGTTTCTTGACTCTAGTTTGAGGTGTTGGTCAGCGTGACGTCTGTATTATTGTGAATGTTGATAAGGCAGCAGCACATTGTTGAATGGTCATCAAGGACAGTGCATTGTAGGAAACAGCTGTGAGGGATGATACAACTTATCGTGACAGATGAGCTTTACACCCGAGTTATCGTATTTCGCTCATCTCACAAGTAGTTAGTCATGGTAGATTAACCCTATGATTGCCTTCTGGTCACTTTGTTACTGCATGTTGCTAATTATTATTATAATGCACTCTTACATGCTCTTTTTCTGACCGTCTACTGACCTTCCTGTGTCTGCAGAAAGACTAGTTGACCTGTATTCCACCTCAAAGTGCCTCACGAGTTGCTAAATTTATCAGCTCAAATAGACGTCTTTAATGACCTTGGCTGCATCCGGTTTTCTTTACTGGTCAACTCGACATTTAGCAGCGTCAGGGCTGCCAAAAACGTGTATCGCAGGCAGCCTCGGGACTCCATGCCTCTCATACCCTCACATATCATCGTCATGTGAAATTCAAGCTCCTGCCAGAATTCAAACCCCCTCTGGACCCCAAAGAGGAGCTGCTGTTTGTAGTGCCTGATCAAAAGCTTGTCACATTATCCTGTTGATGATGCTGATTATTCAAATATAGGCATAACTGAATATACCTCAGTGAGGATAACATGTACATTGAGTTGAGGGTGATCGGGGGTTTATTTGGAAAGGTCTGTTTTGGGACTGTACATTATCCACATTTTATCTGGGTTTTTAATTGAATGTAATGTTTTTTTTATTTTTTATTTAATGCTAAAATAATAAGAAACTATTTTTAAATGTGATATTTTAGATTTTCTGATTATATATAAAATCAGTTCATATATATACAGTATATATATATATATATCATATTATATAAAATGTTTAAAATGTGTATCTATAATATATTTTAATTTTAATATCATTTTTAAAGATGTGATCTTTTGAATTTTTAGTAACACACACAAACATATATGCACTCAATTGTTTATGAAATAAAAATACATTTTTATGCATTTGTTATATATTTTATGATGTAGATTTTATAATATAAATAATTTATATTATATTGATAAAAAACTTCAAAACAAGAAATGTGGGTTTAATGTTTTTAATAAAAAGTCTCTTCTGCTCATCAAGGCTGCATTTATTTGATTAAAAAATACAGTAAAAACTGTAATATTGTAAAATATTATTACAGTTAAAAATAGACATTTTCTATTTGAATATATTTTAAAATGTAATTTATTCTGGGGATGCAATGCTGAATATTCAGCATCATTACTCCAGTCTTCAGTGTCACATGATCCTTCAGAAATCATTCTAATATGCTGATTTTCTGCTCAAGAAAAATTTATTAATATTATCGATGAAAAAAAACATATTTTTTCAGGATTAGAAAGGTCAAAAGAGCAGCATTTATTTGAAATCTTAACCAGTATTAACAGTTGGGATGTTTAATGATCACATAAATCACCATCGTATGATTTCATTCTAATCAGGCACAGAATATTTTTAAAAAGTTTCCTTGCTGCTTTGACTCATTATGTTGCTAGTAGTATTACATTTTAATAGTGCTGGAATATAATCTCAAGTCTGCATCAGTCTCATTTGGAAATGGACTGGACTCAAGACATTTCCTCAATTATCAGGCCGTAAACGAACACACTCGTATAGTTCTTCACGAGAGCTTCTGGCTTCCCTCGCAGACGGTTGTTGTTGTGAGTTGTTGTGTTGTCTGTGTTAAATATATCATGACAGCTGGGCATCTCAATGGCCCTACTGTTTTACACATTCTCCTGCAGCTTCCAGAGTTCAGTGGACTAAAACCTCAATCATAAAATAAACAGTAATGCTGTTAATGTTATTGAGCCTCCATCTTTCCAGGGAACATGAACAGACTCTTCGCTGAAGAGCGAGAACATCTGCTGGCCTAAAATGACACCCTGGTGGGCCATGCCTCATTGTTGACATTATAAACTGACGGCTTAATAGCGTGCATAAATGGAAATTAGGACTCGGGGGAAACTGGCAAAAGGCTATAACTAAATCATTGAATAATCCTGGTGAATTTTTTGTTGACATTTCTTTAGATGAGCGCAGTGCCTTAAAGGTACAATATGTAAGATTTTCGTAATAAAATATCCAAAAACTACTTGCACAGTGTTATATATTTTATGCAGTTGTGTATTTATGTTATTCCATATTTATGTTATTCGCATATCCTCAGTTTCCGCTTGTAGAAACTATGGCAACACACAGACACAAATGCTGCTGTACAGTTAAACTAGTCGCGAATAAAATGCAAATGAATGAAAGGTGTTGACCGCAGCATTAAATTTAGATCTGCTCAGTGTTGCGCCATGATTTTTTATGTGTTTTTACAGTGTTGCGTATTATAACCAATCACACACGAGTCTGTTGAGCTTATGAATGCAATGGCCAATCAGAAGCGTTCAGATGAGTTTTTGTTCAGTGCATGGCGCTCGCTGACTGAATTCAGCTCTCACGCGAATTCATTGGTGCATTCATTAATTACCTTAATGTCTTTAATGTTCTTTGCTTGCATTCTCTGTAAAATTTATTTGCTGTTTGAATAACTATGGAAGGTAGGTAATAAAAAAATTATTTCATTACCTCATCCGTGAGCGTGAACATCCTCCTTCATAGCATCATCAAACTTCGCCTTTGTTATTGTTTTGAAAATGCGACCTCTAGTGGCGAAAACTTACATATTATACCTTTAAATGTACCGGTTTATAAATGGGACTTTGAGCCTAGTGGTAGTGATGTGACTGAATTGAGATGATTTCTCAAGTGAATTTGTGCATTACTGACAGGTGGCGCACAATGCATTGTTTTGAAGATTAATCAGAAATGAGAAGAGATAATATTTGGCATAATTTATTAACATGGATGGCGTTAAGCATAGACTGTTTTTGGACATGTAACATGACAATAGCATGATTTTTTTAAATTTTATTTGTTTTACACCTATACCATGGTACTCTTTAAGAAGTATAAAGCTAATACCTAGCACATGAATATGTTAATCATTCAGTATCATAGTATATGTAAAAGAACTTTTTTGAGTGTTATATTATTAATATTACATTTATTTTTTATATATATATATTTTCAGGTTTAATTTTAATTTTAGCTTAAATTTGAGTAATTTTGCTGTTTGTGTAATTTTTGTTAGTTTTAAATATCTAGCTTTAAATTATTTTTATTTCAGTTTTAGTGATTTAACTACTTCAACATTTTTAATGTCATTAAGTCTCCAAGGCAACATTTCTATGTTTCATTTCACAAAAAAAGCTAGCTGTCAAAGCAACATTTCTGATTTTCATTTAGTTTAACTTGATGCAGAAAATAACTAAAACTAAAATGAAAACTAATAAAATAAATAATAGAAACTATATGACATACTAATAAAAATGACAAAAACACAACAAAAATTATAAATCTAAAATTTAAGCGAAAACAAAATATACAAATGAAAACTAATTAAAAATATGATATCTCAATGATATTAAAATAAAACTTTAGTTTTATTTAAAAGCTTTAGTTTTTATTTAACAATAACAGCCCTGAACATATAAGACAAATTATAGGTCTTTACAATTAATGCATATACTGTAGTTAATATTCATATAGTTTCAAATTTTGATCTTTTTCAGCAACTTGGTATCAGACAACTCACACGTGGGATATCGACTACTTCCACCATGGAACCTGCCAGATCAGAAATGAGTATCCTGCCCAATGGGAAAGGTCATGACCTGGGACAGGAAATGTGCATGCCGATGAAGACTATAATGGAGGAAGAACAGTAAGCACTTTTAAATATTCAAATTTATCTGTAAAAACTTCATAGATATGTGCCGTAAGATAAGTTAGTTGCATGTGTGTCTACATAACGGGAAGTGTTTGCTTTGTCTTGTACCACCTGCATGAAGAACCAGGCCACTTTAAACAGTGGTTCTCAGCTGGTCTTGCTCCTTGATTATTAGCATTGCGTTTTCCCTGCAATCAGTTTCACTGTGTCTCTGTGCTTCTGTACTGAGGTCTTTCTTTTGTATGCTCCTCAAATCACTTTTATCTACTGGCATGGTGTGTTGACTTGTCTAAGTGCATGTTTACCCTCTTTTTCACTCCTGCTCGATGATGGACCTTCTCACACTCTCTATCAACCCCCAGAAACGGTACCCATCACGGCAGGTACGTCAATAACAGGAAACCAATGACTACTAGTTGCAGTTAGAGCAAATGAATCGATGCAGCTTGCAAGGTCATTGTCAATTAAATGTCGACTGGCGTCCGTCCAACAGGTTTGATGATCCTGACAGCACACTTGCTGAGAACATTGAGTTCCTGCCCAACGGCGAGGGAAAGAAGCCACGTTTCACTGATGTAAGTATGTGCAGCATTTACCGTGAACTTTCAACCGAAAGCATATCACAGATAGAAACTGATGATATTTGACTGTGTTGATGTTCTCGGTCAGCTGTTGTTTTAGTTGCTCATCAGTTTCATTTCCTCTCTTAGTTTGAGGGGAAGACCTCTTTTGGCATGTCAGTCTTCAATTTGGGCAATGCCATTATGGGCAGTGGGATATTGGGATTGGCCTACGCTATGGCCAATACTGGCATACTGCTTTTCTTGTAAGTGAAATCCCTTCATTACTCTCTTAATGGCAGATTGGCAGAAAAAAGTCATTGATTGTTGGATGTTTGTTCTGATGTGAAGCATCAGTGAATCATCTCATAGTCAGGCAAATGAACCTGTCATGTCCAGCCCTCAATGAATCAGCATTTTCACTTCATCTGAATGTCAAGCATTTGGTACACCATTGGCTGTCTAATTGCCATGGTTCTTAAAGTATTGTTTTACATGTGTTATTTTTCCAGACATGCTCTTGAATAATTGAGTGTTCCCTTTTGGAGGCTGTTAATGTTCATCGTGTACCAGAAAGGGTTTGCTATGGAAAAGATCTGCCCCGTTGTGTTATATTAAATGACACACAAACCACCATTTGGCCACCACTTTTTTAAAATCAGCCCATGTTTCAGGGGTTTTAAAGTACTGCAAATGAAAAATGATGACAAATGTATGTCAGTGAAATTATTTAGATGATTAAATTAAAGTTATTATGTTTTATCAGTCTGGTTTTTAAAGTGGTTTAAAGAAAGGGATAATGTGCAGTTAGCCAGTCATTTATTATATTTATTTTGCAACAATAAATAATTATTTGCATATTTACGTTATATAAAACGAATATTTTTGAATATATATCTAATATCTAAT